GGCTCCAAGCTATGGCTCAGCACCATGAACACTTTACTTCATGCCACATTGGCTGGTCCAAACTCGCTGTAAAGACCAGACTGACCTCAGTTTCACAGAGTTCTGATTCTGCCTTTCCGGTGCTGGGATGCATCGTGACACCTGTTTTCAGGACCCAGCACAAAGAAGTGTGGAGTGTTTGAGTGATGGATATGCCAGCGATCTGATTACTAAACATTGGATACATATATGGAGATATTGAGGATGGCATGTAACTTACTGAAACAGTATATATTTAGAATGCACAAGGTCCTGAGTTCAATTCCAACTACCAAAAAAATCCCAAAAGGTTACAACTCATTAAAATGTTCAATTATATACTGATTAAAAATAAAAATATCAAAACATTATTTCAGTTTTATCAAATTGGCCATGAAATCATGAATTCTGCCATGAAAAATCAAGATCGGCCAAGTCAGTTAATATAGAATATGGGAAAGGAAAAGAATTCTCTTAAACATCCATTTCCTTAACTGATGAAAGAAGCAAAGGCTCTGCAAGAAACAGGAAGCTGCTCGTGCTGGAGTGGTGGTGGGTTAGGTGGTGTTGGTGATGGTGGTGGAGGTGATGGGTGTTGGTGGGAGGTGGTGTTGGTGGTGTTGGTGGTGGGAGGTAGTATTGGTGGTGGGTGTTGGTGGGAGGTGGTCGTGGTGGCAGCAGCAGACACATAGCTGCCTGCACTTCAGAAAAAGGCTTTAGGGATTGTGAAGGAGGCTGTGCTCTCAGCAGCCCTACTGAAATGCAGTAGGTGCTGAAGCTCTGTGCATAGGACTCAGATGCCCCTGCACAGGGGACAGAGCCTAAGACGCAGCGCAGGTCTAAGATCACCTGCTGCCTGTAGGTGCTGGCCTGAGGGGCTGCTGAGCAAGGAAAGCTTCTAGCTTTAGACACGTGTCCCATGTCACAGATGCTGAGCCTTACACATGGTCGCATGTCACAGATGCTGAGCCTTAGACACATGTCCCACGTCACAGATGCTGAGCCTTAAACACGTGTCCCACGTCACAGATGCTGAGCCTTAGACCCGTGTCCCACGCCACAGATATTGAGCCTTAGACAGGTGTCCCACGACACAGATGCTGAGCCTTAAACATGTGTCCCACGACACAGGTGCTGAGCCTCCCAGTGGGCAGGAAGCTAACTGTAGATCATCCTGTGGCTGTCCTTCAGGGCGTCCATGGGCTCGGAAGGTGGGCTACCTTCTGACTCTTCACACTCGCCCTGCACAGTGGACTCAAAGTAGCCAGTTCCACACACTGTCCAAACATGCACGAGCATGTGGAGTTGGCCTTCTAAAGTTCCAGGAAATTATCAACCCAGTGTGCCTGCTGTCATAGTCTCTTGGGCTTTGGTCTGAACAGCCCAAATCCTCCTTCAGGCGGATGGATGCATGTCAGCACAAGGGATGTTCTTTCCAACATGCGCGTGCAGGAAAGCTGGGTTCACATTCTAGGCAAGCTGCCTAGTAGAGCAGGGCTTCGGGATTCTACTCCTTTCCCTCAACATCCCAAGTCACTCTGTTCCACGGGTGTGAGCTAATGGGAAGCTCCATGTCCAGAAGCAGCCCTGAGTAGGAAACACATCCTAATGTTGCCCCAGTGGTGGCAAAGACACAGCAAGAGGAAAGCCTCTGCAGTGTCTCTTCAAATTCTCTGTGGGGCAGGAGCTAGACGCTGTGGGGCCCACACCAGCTCTCCAGTTTGGCTCTCTGTAGAGGGCCAGTGTAGGCAGACTTTTCTGTCCTGCCAGCCAATTCCCAAAACCACACAGAGACTTAATTATAAATGCTCTCCTGATAGCTTATGCTTGTTTCTAAATAGCTCTTACGACTTAACCCATATTTCTACCCTCTGCCACACAGTGGCACCTTCTTTCAGCAAGGCATGATCTTTTTCATCTCCTGGTGTCTCCTCAGACTCCTGGGCCTCTGCCCCTTCTCCTCCTCCTAGCATTCTCTCTGCCACGAAAATCCTGCCTAGCTATCAGCCAGTCAATTCTTTATTAGCCAGTGAGAGTAATACATATTTAGTGTAGAGAAACATTGTTCCGCAGCAGGCTATTCCCACAGCTCACTCGGAAGCCCTGCTCATGAGCAAAAGAAAACCATGAGAAGGTAAGGCTGAGCAGCTCTCGGTCCAAGAGCCCTCACAGAGAAGACTCCGCACTGGTCCTCACAGAAGTTCAGTTTTGCTGAAGAAGCCATGGCTTTTGCTTACGACCATCTTTGAGATGTCATGATGGGGAGAAACAATATATACCTGGTGCTGGGTAGTACCCAGAGCTGTTTAAAAGTTATTGGTGATGGAAGCCTAGCTGAGGTGTCTCAGTGGGTAGCGTGCTTGCTAAACATGAACAAAATCCTGCATTAATCCTCAGCTTTGTGTCATCTGGGCATGGCAGTGCATACCTGTAGTGCAGATGAAGACAGAAGCTCCAGGTTGTCCTGGTTACAGTGAGCTGGATGTCAGCCTGAGACCCCGTCTCAAATATACTGCTACTAATCCAGGACCCTTGTTTCATAGTTTGTATATTCCTGCCCTCCCCCACACCATGGATTTGCTATACTGTGTGTCCATATACGCTCACAGGTTAAAGTCACAGAAAATGCATGTGGTCCCATCAAAGCCTTGTTACAGTTATTCTCAAGGGTATTTTCTATATGTATAACGTCACTAAGCTTTTGTCTCCTGGTCTTTAATGGTAATTTGTGCTATAGCATGGATCAGGGATGTCCCAGAGGTCCATATGCTGACAGCTTGAACCCCAACTTTCTGCTGTGTATGTGTGTGTGGTGGGGGAGTAGACTCTTTAGGTGAGACCCAGCTAGAAGAAAATTAGATCAGTGCCCATGTTTTGAGAATCCCTTCGCTGGGGATGGCCCGAGACAATTCAAAGGATAATCCCACTGAAGTTCAACCCGGGGAATCAAGGAGTTTGTTGAGCTTATTTACAAAGCATGGGTGAAGGGTGGCTTATAGCACTGTGGGAGACCTCGAAGCAATGGCAGGGATGATGGCTTTCCCCAGTGGCAGAGATGGAGCTCCTCCTTCTATCACCTCTCTCCAGCCTGCACAGTCCAGCACCTCCACTGAAGGTAGGACTGCACACAGGCCGAAAGGAAGGAAGGAGCAGGTGGAATCTTGGGTGAGGGTTCAATGACCCTCTTGACCCCATCCTCCTCTGAGGAAGTGTCCACAGTCAGCAGGCCCACTGGTGATGTTGCCTTGCAGCTGATCAGATGAAAACGGTGGCTGTTTTGTTCGGATGATAGTACCCCACAACACCCACCCCTTCCTTTGGTTCTTATATTCTTTCTGACCCCTTTCCCCGATGTTCCCTGAGTTTCGGAAGGGTACACAGATGCTGGACTAGTCTCCCTATTTCCAACAGGGTATGTACCCTCGGCCCTCTCCATGATCCCTCAATGATCTCTGGTGGTTCTAGAGGTAGGAGTAGGGGCAGGGGTGGAAAACATCCAAATGGAATCTGGCCATAAGTAACCTGTAGCCATAAATACAAGTGTTTGGAACCTGGCAGATCACACTCGTGTGATAAAGAAGACTCTCAGCCTCTTCCCCCATGCATACTCTGCGTCTGTTTGAATTTCTGCTGCTGTGATGAAACACCACGACCTGTGATATAAACACACTGGGAAGGAAAGGGTTTACTTGGCTTACACTTCAACACCACTGCTCATCACTGAAGGAAGTCAGGGCAGGAACTCAAGCAGGCCAGGAACATGAAGGCAGGAGCTGACTCAGAGGCCATGGAAAGTTGCTGCTTACTGGCTTGTTCCTCATGGCTTGCTTAGCCTGCCTTCTTATAGAACCCAGGACCACCGGCCAGGGGAAGGTGGCACCACCCACAATCAGTTGGGCCTTCCCCCACCAATCACAAATTAAGAAAATGTCCTACAGGCTTGCCTACAGCCCAGGCTAGGGAGAGAACCCCAATTGAGAAAATATCTCCGTAAGACTAGATTCAACCCAGTTCCCTACCCTGAGAACCCAGGCAGTGGTGACCTTGAACTTCTGATTCTACAGCCTCCACCTTCCTAATTCACCACCCCGCATGGTTTATGAACAGTACTGGAGGTGGAACCCAGCCAAGGTTTCCATCGAGTACCAAAGTAAGAACGCAAAGCCCCAGCCCTCTTTAGAGAGGACGAAAAGGTCGTATTCAGTCTGCTTTTGGTAAACAAACACTGACGTGTGAAGGAACCCGGGAGACAGGTTGGCTGGAAAGGGAGGTCTACTCAGGTGTGTCTGGGAGCGGTACAACCCCGAGATGAGATTGTCGGGCGAGGATTGAAGGCAGTTGTGTTGTGAGACCCGGTTTAAAGCAGAGGAGATTCGAGAGCCTTCCCCGTCGTTAGAAAGGGTGGGAGAGACGGGAGCAAACGTCCCCAGGCCTTTCCATTTGTTTCAGCCCAATTGCTCTGCACTCCGGCGCTCGCCATGACTAGGGCGTGGCCCTGAGCCCCAAGCCTGGCTTAGGTGGGTGTCCCAGCCAAAGCTCCTCCAGTGTGCACACGGAGGGGACTTACGTAACCTTCCCTTTTGCACACGTGGGCAGCCACCCAGCTGGAGACCGAGGCTCCGTGCTATTTTTAACTGCCTTCCTCCTCTGCTCTCGGTGACTCCAGCCCGAGCCGGTCGACGCCGCCTTGCAGGATCTCGGCGGTCGCCGGGTGGGCAGAGGGACAGGAGCAGGAGGTCGGGGACCCGACCTACCCGCCGTTCCCCGAAGGTCCACGCAGACCGGCTCGGGCCGGCGGGCAGAGAAGTGTCATTCACGGTCCCTAGCAACCGTCAGCCGGGCCCCGCCGCTGGGCCTTTTTTACGACCGCAGCCGCAGGCGCGCGCCGCCCTGGGGGCAGGCAGGAGGTGTGTGGGGCGCGCCAGCCAATCCGAGCCGCGCGCTCCAGCGTAGCGCGTTCTGATTGGCGGAGCGCCGGGCGGCCGTAAGGCGTCCCCGGGTGTCGTGAGCGGGCGCAGGGCGAGAACGCCGAGGGCCGTGCCGGGTCGACCCCAGTGTCATCCGTGTGGATAGCGGCTTCACCGCCGACCGCAGGGCCATGGCTGGGACGCTGGTGCGCAAAGCGGCCGACTATGTGCGGAGCAAGGACTTCCGGGACTATCTCATGAGGTGAGCCTCGGGGTAGGCCGTGGGGGGAGCCGCCCGCCGCGGGACAACCCTGCGGCGTGCTGCCGAGGTGGGTGAGCCGCGCGCGGGCGGACCGTGCGCCCACCCGTGACCAGGGGGACGACTGCAGGTGACCGAGGTGATGCTGCTCCCACCCGTGACCAGGGGGACGACCGCAGGTGACTGAGGGGACGCCGCTCCCACCCGTGACCTGGCGACGACTGCAGGTGACCGAGGGGACGCTGCTCCCACCCGTGACCTGGGGACGACTGCAGGTGACAGAAGGGACGCCTCTCCCACCCGTGACCGAGGGGAGGGGAGTCTGCTTTCTCCCTTGACCAAGGGGCGACTGCGGGTGACCGAGGGGACGTCGCTCCGGGGCAGGGCGACCTAGGGGCTGTCAGGTGCCGGACAGCAGACAGACGTAGGGTGACTGTAGGGACGCCGCTCCCGCTCGTGACCGGGCGGGCAAACGCCTCCCCTGCGCAGGCGGTCGAGGTGCCCTTGCGTGCGTTGACGTGGGGACACTGGGTGCCACCACCCCCTTCCTCGTGTCCCCATCGTCACGGGCCTGGGACTTGGCGGGAGCGGTGCTGGAATGTTCCCGGACGCGCCGAGCTGGGTGATGGGAGCTAGAATTCGCCGCATCCAAGTCGTTTTTCCTTCCGAGCAGTGTGTGTGAACTGCGGCCAAGCTGTCTGAGAGCCGCGGGCTTTTCCTTGCAGTTGTGTGTCGGGGGAGGCTTGACATTGAGCGATTGAAGAGGGCACTTTCTAGAATTCATTTTCACGTAAAATCTTCCGCTGCCTACTTCTATTTATAAGTATTTCATAAGACTTAGAAACAGTTTAAAATATTTCCAAGCATAATTTTATTTTCTTGTGATTTTTAAACCTCCATAAGTGGAAGAGTGCTGTTTAACTTTTAGCTCTTTCTTCCCTAGGAAAATATTTTTCTTTCTAGAACTTAACCCTGGTGATATATATTCTCAGTTCTTTCTTCTAGACGCCACCCTCACAGCGACTTGGTTTGACTTTAGAAAGGAAGAATACATTATAAATAGAGATTTAGTTGTGACTCTGTGCTGTGTGGAGATGCGGCTCTAGTCCTTTGTGTTCTGTGAATGACTCCCTTCATTACATCCATCGCCAACTATAGCTTCCGTGAGTTTGCAGCCTGCCGACAGTTCACATTGTTGGACTGAAGCCCTTCTAGAATTCGAAAAACGGTTTCTTCTTTTTTTGAGACAGGTCTCATTTAATGCAGGCTGGCCTTCCAGCTCGCTATATAGCTCGGGATGATCTTGAATTTGTGATCCTTTCGCCGCCCCCTCCTGTGTGCTGGGGCGACAGGCATGTGCCAGCACACCTAGTTGACGTGGTGCTGGGTAGGAAACCCAGGGCTCCTTGTACCCTACTAGGCCAGCCAGTCCTGGCGCCTCCTGGCTTTGTGAAGTTGAGTGTGTGTGCATTAGTGGCTGCAATGCTGGACAAACATGATTTTATTTATTTATGAGACAAATTTCTATGGTAGCCCCTGCCGGCCTGGAACTCACAGAGATCCTCCTGTCCCCGCCTCCTGGGTGCTAGGGTGAAAGGTGTGCGCCCCACTATCCAGCCTGTAAGAGCAGCTGTACTCCTAACTGCTGAGTCACCTCCCCACCCTTTTCATTTTTATTTTTAGTTCTGTTTTTTGTTTGTTTGTTTTGAGACAGGGTCTCTACATATCTCTGGCTGTCCCGGAATTCACTGTGTAGCCTAGGCTGAGATTTATTTGCTTCTGCCTCCTGAGTGCTGGGATTAAAGGTGTGTGCTGCCACCATACCTGGCTTCAAAGTTTTCTTCTTAAGCAACTATTTCCTTATGTACCTTACGGACAATAAAACAGCCCTTTATTCTCTTTCAGTCTTCTTAGATTTTTGGTTAAATTAGATGAGTGAGGTAAGACTTGTAGTTTAAGGACTACGTGTACAGATTTGTTTTAGAGGTTTATTTTCGAGTTTATATCTTAGAGCAGAGGTGACTGTATACACGTGTGCGCGCGCGCGCACACACACACACAAACACACACACAGCCACTCACACGCTCACAACTCTGAGGTTAGTGAGCTCTTGGCAGTGAATATTCTCAAGTTAAGGTGTGCTATTCTAAGTTGACTTTAACTTCTGAGTTCCCTGGAAAGCTTTACATTATCATCTGGGCGGTGGTGGCGCACACCTTTAATCCCAGCACTTCAGAGGCAGGCAGATCTCTGTGAGTTTGAGACCAGCCTGGTCTACTAGAGCCAGTTCCAGGACAGGCTCCAAATTACAGAGAAACCAGGTTTCAAAAAATAAAAATAAAAATAAGAGTTTATATTATTTACCTAAGTGGAAAGTTGTGGTGGAAATAACAGAACACATCCTAAACATGGAATTAGAGTGGAAAGAACCCAGAATTTCACCTGCCACTGGAGAAAACTGATATTTAGACCAAGCAGAAAACTTGAGGTCCTCTGAACACCCAGCTTGTGAAGCCAAAACGGAAGGAAGAATGGGGCATAGAAATGGCCGTGGAAGAGAGCAGGGTTTGGGTTCCTAGGGGGACTAGGGGTCGAGGCAAGCTTTCATTGTGTGGCCATGACTGGCCTGGAACTCTGTAACCCTGGCAGATCTTGAACTCACAGAGACCTGCCTGCCTCTGCCACTCATACCCAGCCTGGTGCCTTCTGCCCATGCCATCCATCTTTCTGCAGTACTGTTTCTTACATTCGGCCTTTGGACTCTCAGCACTTTCTTGTTCTATTATTGACCTTCAGAATTAATGACAATGAAAATGTTGACCTAGCCATAGTGAGTCTCTGGATAGCTGGAAAGTCCAGTTTATCCAGTTTACTGAGGCCTTTACCATTTTACACGGGTTCTAATTGTTAAATTACAACTAAAATATTTTTAAAAATTGAAATATAGGTGAGCATTTTTACCAAAATACAGAATTACAATCCAGACAACCTTAAAATCTCATCCCATGTGGTCAGGATATAAAATAAATGAAAAAGTTTACTTTATTTTTAAAAAATCCCATTTAAATGGTGTTATAAATAAGACTTTCAGGCTGCTGGTTGGATCCTCTTCATATGCTAAAAGTATTTAAGTTATAAATGAGTTTACAGTTAACTGTGTTCCCTAAAATAGCTGTGTATGCTGGGAGGAATGGAACAGAACGTAAAGATGATATAATTGTCTATATAGACAATCCCAAAGGACCAAAAATCTTATGGAACTGACAAGTAATAATAGCAAGGTAATAAGATAATAATTAGTGTACAATGTTAATATCTAAAGGTCTGTTGCTTTTCTATTTACTTTCAACTAATAAATGCAACTTGAAATTAAAATATACTGTCATCTACATCATCAGCATTTACCCAAATGCTGAAGCCTCATTGGTGTTGGGTGCTGGGATTGGATCCAGGGCCTGTGCATGTTAAACACACAGTCTCCCACTAAGCCATATTCCTAGCCCTAAACGAAATAGATGTAGATTTAAAAAATCTAGCAAAATTATACATGAGAGCTATCTAAGAAAACAGCTGTGAAAGATAACTGAAGAGCCAGGTAACGGAGCGGAGCTGCTCCAGGTCCACAGAGGGAAAGGCTCGGTGTCCAAGATTCCGTTCTTCCCAGCTTAATTGACAGAATCAGCGTACTGCCAATCAACAAACGGATTCTGGACTTCATGTAGAGTTTGGTTCCCAGCAACACCAAGAGATAAAACAGTAAATTAGTAGGTGAGTAGCTAATATGAGGAGGTAGAAGCCCCGGTGTAACTGATAGGTACTGAGGAAGAACAGTGGGGAGGCTGACACTGCCCAGTTTTACAGTTTGGTCTGAAACTGCAGTCATCAAACCTGTGCTACTAACACAGGACTAAACAAACAGATCGATGGCACAGCCTAGACAGGCCATAAGTAAATACACATAGTACAATCAACTAAACTTTGGCCAAGGAGCAAAGGCAAAATAATGTAGCAAAGACAGTCTTCAACAAATGATGCCAGCAACTGGCCATCTACATTTAAAAAAAAATTAGACATGTCCTATGTCTAACAAAATGTTTTCTCGATTCACATTTATAGATCTAAACATAGAGTGCAAACTATAGACTATGGGAGAAAAACTAGAGTACCTGGGTTTGGCAATGGCTTTTTAGGTACAATACCAAAGGCATGATCCATCAAAGAAAGAATGGGTGAACTAACCTTCTTTAAGACTAAAATTTTCAGCTGGGCATGATGGTTCATGCCTGTAAATGCTGTACGCAGATATGGAGGCATGAGGATTGAAAATTCCATACCATCCTGGGCTGCACAAGGAGACCCTGTCTCAGAAAACAGTGTTAGAATGTCTGCTGTGTGAAACAGAAAATAGACCGACCTAAAGGCATCTGAGCACTGTTAGTTCCTGAGATAACTGAAGCTGGCTGAGCATCGCAACAGATCGAATGGAGACAGACAGCAAGTCAGCCTGGGAAAGTTGCTCCTCAGCCCCTGTCATCATAGGAAGTCAGTGGAATTTAGCAGAAACGTGTCACCCAAACATGCATCTCTGGCAGTTCCCGAGCTGCTTTGGAGCTATGGGAACTCTTTACTGCTGGTAGAAATACAAATGGACCCACTCTGGAGTACAGGTCTGCCTTTCTTACAAAACTTGACCTGCTCCTGCTATATATCAGAAATCATACCCCTGATAGAAACAGAGAACTTGAAAATTTATTTCCACACAGGGTCCTACATGTGGCTATTTATAGCAGCTCTATGCATAACTATCCAAACTTGGCATCAAACAAGTTGTCTTTCAGTGAATGTGTGGTTAATGGAATGTCCAGACAGTAAGTACAATATTGTTCAGGGCCAAAAGGAAATCATTTACAAAATCATAAAAATATATAAAGGAAACTTAAGCTCACATCACTAAATAAAATAAGTCAACTTGAAAATAACATATAGTTCAAGATGCTATAATCAGGATTCAGGCTTTTGTCAAAAGTTCTGAGCCTGCAAAAGGATATCTGGTGGGCAACCAAAGCAGAATTAAAGATTCTCATTTGCCTGGGGTGAGCATTCAGTTTTGTGCTGGCTTCTGAGAGGAGGGAACCTTTATTGAGAAAATGTCTCCATGGACTGTGAACAGTCCTGTACAAGAGCTTCCTAATTAGTGATAATGCAGGAGGCCCAGCTCATTGTTGTTGGTCCTGGATTCTAACAGGAAGCAAGCTGAGCAAACCAGAATACAAGCTAATGCACAGCCTGGTTCCTCCCTTGTCTAAAGGTTTCCTCGTCCCTTGAGTTCCTGTCCTGACGACCTCAGATGCTGGGCCATTACCTGGAAGTGTACTCCAAATAAATCCTTTCCTTCCCAAGTCGCTTCTTGGTCATGGTGTTTTATCACTTAATACAGAAATAGAAATGCTAACTAAGACAGATTTGCTGTCTAGATCGTGTTAAAAAGCTGACATGAAGCCGGGTGTGAAGGTATATTCCCTTAAACCTGGCACTTGGGAGACAGAGGCAGGTGGGTCTCTTCAAGTTCAGAGCTAGCCTGGTCTACATAGCAACTGTGAGTTTTAACCAATAGGGATACAGAATGAGACCCCATCTCAAAAAGGGGGATGGGACTGGGTGTGGTGGCACATCTGTAACCCCATCACCAGGGCAGTGGAGACAGGCAGATTCCTGGGGCTTGCTGGTCTGTGTGCCTAATCTACTTTGCACACTTCAGGACAATACAAACGAACAAAAACTAAGATGGGTAGCTCCTGAAAAGAGTAACAGCTGAGGTTGTCTTCTGGCCTGCATCATGTTTGTGCACATCAGTGTGGACACACAGAAAAGCATCTTTGCCTTCATTCTGCATCCGTCTTCTCTGCTACCTTAAACTTGAGGTCAGATTCCTGCCCAGCTCTGCAGTAAACATGTTAATTATTTAAGGAGCGTTAGTCTAAAACTGGCAATGCAAAGCTGCTCCATCCTAAAGTGACCTAGTCATTTTCTTCCCCCTCAAGTGGGAAAAATTATTTCACGGCAGTTGCTGAGTACCCCTGTCCACCCACCCACAATCACACAGTAATTTTCCACAGCAAGACTACACAGAACCAGACCTGAGAAATGACCAACCAGAACACAACTGACCACCACTGCTTACTATGCATACATCTTGTCTCTGCGTTTATTCCTTCCCCACTGTAATCTTCCAGCTATTGCCAGTACCTTAAAGGTAACTCTTAGAATATTAATCCCCTGTTCCCATTGTGTGACCATATTGAACAAACTGCTTCACGGCTGTGTCTTTGGTTGGACTCTTGGAGCTGTGCTTTAGTTAGGATTTCTATTGCTGTGAAGAGAAGAGACACTGTGACCATGGCAGCTCTTATAAAGGAAAAACATTTCATTGAGGTGGTAGCTTACAGTTCAAAAGTTCTGTCCATTATCAGCATGGCAGGAAACATGGCGGCATGCAGGCTGTCATGGTGCTGGCTACATTTTAATCAGAAGGCAACAGGAAGTGACCTGAATATTACACTGAGTGAAGCTTGAGCAAAAGAGACCTCAAAGTCCACCCCTACAGTGACGCACTTCCTCCAACAAGCTACACCTGTTCCGCATTGCCACACCTCCTTAATAGTAGCATGAGTAGCCAAATCTGGTCTGTTGGGACCCTGACACAAACTAGGGTCATCTGGGAAGAGAAAATATCATTTGAAGAATTCCCTCATCAGACTGGCCTGATCTTCTTATTACTGATTGATGATACAGTAGGTTCAGCCCACTGTAGGCAGTGCTACCCCTGGCACATAGTCCTAGGCTGAGCAAGCCATGGAGGGTTAGCCAGTAACCAGTGTTCCAGTGGTTCTATCTGCCTCAGTCCCTGCCTTGAGTTTTTGCTCTGACTTCCCTTCATGATGGGCTGTAGGCCATAAGATAAAATAAAGCCTTTCCTCTTCAAGTTGCTTTTGGCTGTGGTCTTTATCACAGCAACAGAAAACAAATGGGGACAGATTCTAACTATGTGACGTTCTGGAAAAGACGAAGAGCAAGAGAAGGATGAAAAGGCAGAGTGCAAAAGTTTTTAGGGCAGTAGGACTCTGGTGACCTTGTCTGGTATGTCAATATGTGGTATGTGTCACCCAAATGTAATGTTTTCATAGTCAACTGAAATACAGCAGATGACCAAATAAAGAGAAAATAAAACCTATTACTGCCCCAAGTTACCGTTGAAAGCAGCCACGCTTGCCACCGCACCATCCATGTCAGGCTGTGACTTGTGTGTTGTAAAGCATGTACTGTTACATAGTGGGGAACACAGTTTTTGCTAGTGTGGCTCTGCACAAGTGTGCTTTTCATAGATTTTTAAACACATAAAATGCATGTGCCTAAGGCATGAAACATTGCTTTTTAAGTTGTTTTATTACATATGGGTTTGTATGGATGTATACTAAATGTGTGGGTGCTTGTGGAGGCCAGAAGAGGGTGTTAAACCCCTTGGAACTAGAATTATCAGCAGTTATGAGCTGCCCAACCCAAGAGAGCTCAAATTCTCTAGAAGAATAGCTGATCTATCTCTCTAGCCCTCACTTTGCACATTTCTGTGATTTGTTTTTGAAAGGTTTTTTAATGTATATGTTTGTGAGTCTGCATGCAGTTGCCCGCGGAGGCAAAGAGAAGGCATAGCAGCCTATGGAACTGAACGTGTAGATAGTTGTAAGCTGCCATGAGTGCTGGGAATGGAGCCTAGGTCCTCTGCAAGACAGAGCTCGGTTAGATGCTCCTAACTAAACCATCTCTGCTCCAGCCCCACAAAACTTTTTTTTTAAGTCTTTTTTGCTTCGTGGGTGGTTTTTTTTGTGTGTGTGTATGTGGGGTGGTTTCGAGACAGGGTTTCTCTGTAGTTTTGGAGCCTGTCCTGGAACTAGCTTTTGTAGACCAGGCTGGCCTCCAACTCACAGAGAACCTCCTGCCTCTGTTTCCTGCGTGCTGGGATTAAACGTGTATGCCACCACCGCCCAGACTGTTTTGTTTTGAGACAGGGTTTCTTTCTATGTAGTCCTGACTGTTCTGGAACTCATTCTGTAGACCAGATTGCCTCAAATTCACAGAGATCCTCCTGCCTCTGCCTCCCGAGTGCTGGGGTTGAAGGTTGCGCCACCACTGCCCAGCATCCACATTGTATTTCTATTAGGCAACTCAATGCTAAAGATGAAGCTTATTTTCATAGAGTGAAGGTTTTTATTTCACTTGTTATTACATATGATTCCTTAAAAAGTTGTTTTTCACTTACTTTATGTGAGGAGGTTCGTATGTCATAGCTCACCTGTGAAGGTCAGAGAACAACATGGGATTCACTCCGTCCTTACAGTGTAGGTCCCGAGAATCAAGCTCAGTTGTTAGACTTGGTGACAGGCACCTCTCCCTGAGCCGTTTGGCCAGCCCTCACTTAGACTGTGTTGTTAGCATGTGACTAAAACTTAAGTGCATGTGAGTTGGATGGACTAGAACTGTTGGAAGGATCTGATTCTTTTTCTCTTTGTTTTGTTCCCTCCATGTCTTCTCTGTGTGAACCTTGGTGACTCCACAAAATAGTACGGTAAGAAAATTGTATCCATTCTGGGCACTTGTGGACTTTCTGCTTTAATAGAGTTACAGACACCAGGCATGTGGGGTGGCCTGACTCCCACGCTCGATGGTAAGCTGTAGTGAAGCATTCTCCTGGGCCCGGCCTCTGTAGACCACAGCCTGCAATGCTTCAGTACCTAGAGCCCCTTTAGAACTGGCAGCTGATGAGAGGGGAGTGGGGAGGCAGACTGAGGTGGTCTCCATGGCTTGCTTTCCATGTGACAGATCCCACACCATGAGCTTGTTCCTTGTTTGAACTTTTTATAGCTACAATAAAAATAGCAAAGTAACATTTTTGCATATAATTGATTAATGTTAATCAAAAAATTCCTTGGTTTTCTATAAATTAACTGCAATTTCTGGCAACCTAGACCAGACACACATTTCCGAGCCAGGAAGAGAGAGTTAGTTTCATACCAGATGAAGAATATGCATTGAAAGCTTTCTTTGTTGAAATGATTTCTGATGTATGTGTGTTTGTCTGTCTGTTGGTAACAGAGACTTGCCTTGTAGACCAGGCTAACTTACCATTCATTCATTCCTTTGTTTGTGAGACAGGGTCTCTCCAAGTAGCCTTGGCTGGTCTGGAGCTTGATACGTTAAACCAGGCTAACCTCAAACTGGCAGAGACTCCCCTGCCTCTACCTCCCAAAGCTGGGACTAAATGTGTGTACTGCCACACCTGGCTAGGTTGAACTGAACTCAGCGTCTTCCTGCCATAGATCCCAGAGTGTTGGGACGCAGGTGTGAGCCATCAAATCCAGCACCCTGTGTTTAAAGGAATATATTTAAATGTAGCTCAGTGCCATAGTTCTCTGTGTGTTTCTTAGCTTAACTAGAAATCCTTCAGGCGCCTGGACAACTTTGGATCTGTTCCACTGTCTGTCCCCCTGGGCAGAAGGCAGGTTATATCTGGTAGAGAGGGCTGTAAGTCCCTCATAGAGTAACGAACGCTTCAGGCTTTCTTATGGACGTAACCATCTGTGCGTCATAATGTAGATATCAAATCAAGACAACCATCCAGTGCAAAGTAGTGAGAAGAGATTAACAGGAAAGAGTTGGAAATAGACCAAGTGGAGAAAGAAAGGAGGAAAAGCAACATTATTGTGGAGCAATAGAGTTGAGGGTGAAGCAACATCTAATAAGGAGACAGGTAGGAGAGAAGTCCAAAGGCTAACAAAGGAGTAAGAACTTACCCTTACGAGGGCCTGGGGATACGGGGAAAATGAAAGTTAGTGTCTAAGACATGAGCAGAGAACAACTTACCTAGGTCATAGGAGTTTGACTGCATGAAGACTAGTTAGCTGTGCAACACAGACATCCAGAGATTCACCCAGAGAAACCAACAAGGCCTGGCCATAGAGACTATAACTCACGTTAAGTTGGGCAGTCCTTATGCTGGCTGAATAGAAATTTTCTCATAATTATTAAAGCATGAGCCCCAGAACTTACATTTAAGCTTATTGGGTTAGCATTCCAGCGTATTCTCCCAGCATGCCAAATGTGGCCCTAGGTTATTTTTCTTGTGTTGCCCTTGTTTTCCTGGAGGATTTTAAGATTGTAATGACCTCTTCTCAAAGCAGAGTCTAGAATTTCAGTCTCTGTTCCTCACCATGGCCGTGTCAGCTGGGAGTCCAGTGAGAGCCACTTTCACCAGTTAGTGTGTTCAGACTCTCTGCAGACAGTTGTAATTCAGGTGACAAAAACATTTTAGTACATTTTTTTTTGCCTCAAAAATTAAAATAAATTAGACATGGCTGCTATTGAATAGTTTAATTTTGGTTACTTTAGATATAGTTTTAGAATGAAAGATTATCAGATTATCTGCTTTTTTTTTAAACTACTTCAAAAGTATTTTCAAACAGTTGTCATTTTCTAAGGCGGGAGACCCTGTCTGCAGATTTTCAAGTTCTTTGATCTTAGTATAGTTCATGTACAGGCTGGAGAACATGTCCTTACTAGAGCTGAAGAGATAGCTCAGCAGTTAAGTGTAAGTACTGTTCTTGCAAAGAACCTGAGCTCTGTTCCCAATACCCATGTTGGATGGTCCACAACCACTTGTAACTAGTTTCCAGGGTGTCTGGTGCCCTCTTCTGAACTCCAGGGTCACCTATACTTAGACCCATAGATACCCCCCCACACACATACACACACTAACACATATACTCATAATTTAAAAAATCTTTTAAAAAATCTTGGGGTTAATGCCTTTAACCCCAGCAGAAGTAGGCAGATCTCTGTGAGTTGTCTGTTGTGCTACATAGTGAGACTGTATCTCAAAAAACCTTTAATCCAGCACTCAGGAGGCAGAGGCAGGCGATCTCTGAATTCAAGGTCAGCCTGGTCTACAGAGTGAGTTCCAGGACAACCAGGACCACACAGAGAATTTCTGTGTTAAAAAAACAAAAGAGTCAATCTTTAAGAACAGTATTCTTTCCTTCGTACTATGAACCTTTCTTTAGAAAAAAGTCCAGTTTATGCTCTGCATTTTTTAGTAGATAACTTAATGAAAACTTGAAAGGAAACATTTTGATAGATTTCAACATTATGGATGTTAACAGTGGTTGTAACAAGGCTTAAGTTCTGTAAGGATAGACTCTGTCAGAAGTATCATCTCCCTTCTCTCGCTGGGTATTCAGAGATCACTGACTTGTGTGGAAATTGGGGAGGAGCTTGACTAGACAGCTGGGCCCTTGAAGAATAAACAGTCTGGGCTCCCCCTTGAAGAACTGAGCAGGGAAGCAGTGAACAATCAAACGGCTGTGGACTGTGATGGTCAGAGGTGGGGAGGCGGGGTTCACGGCTTCACTCTGACTCCTCCTTTCCCCCTCTCGTTTATTGCAGCACTTCTGGGGCCCAGTTGCCAATTGGGGTCTCCCCATTGCTGCTATCAATGACATGAAGAAGTCTCCGGAGATCATCAGTGGGCGGATGACCTTCGGTAAGAACACGCGGAGGTGAAGGAGGCTGTGACACGGATGTAGCTCCTGCACGTCTCACCACGTGTTGTGGTCGCGATGAGGAAGTCACATGAAGAGCGTGACTTTTCTTCATCCTCACAGCCAACAGATTTTATTATAAACTTGATCTGGCAAGGTGTCACGTTTACGTGACACTAGTATTTGAACATACAGATAAAGAGGAAAGTGTAAGTAGCAATTCTTTCAAAGGATTGCTATAAAAAGGTCTGACAAGAACTGAATTCCACTTGTTCCTGCTAATACACGTTCCTAAGTGTGTCGGTAATAAACAGCAGACGTGCTGCGGTACAGTGGACTGCAGAGCCCCCAGCCTTTGCAGCTCACAAGCAGTGGCCGTCGCCGTCTGCTAAGGAAGAGCTTCTTTTCCTCACTCTGGCAGTCTCCAGCCTCTCCAAGATATTCACGCTCTTCTGTTTTGTTTTTTTACAGCCCTCTGTTGCTATTCTTTGACATTCATGAGATTTGCCTACAAGGTGCAGCCTCGAAACTGGCTTCTGTTTGCGTGCCATGTAACAAACGAGGTGGCTCAGCTGATTCAGGGAGCACGGCTCATCAACTACGAGTAAGCACATTTAATACATTGCTTTGAGGAGTTAGTGAGAAACCTAAGTGAAATGGGATGTGCTGTTGTTTGAAAACCCTGTTACAGAAATGTGTCTTCTGAAGCGTGCAGGGCCTCTGAGGCTGGCAGGGTTTGTGTCTACTGAACTCTCTCTGTTTCAGGATGAGTAAGAAGGCAGCTGCGTAGCGGTGCGAGGATCGGCTCTGGAAAGGGACAGAGCCCCAGCACTGCTGCCACGATGGCCACAGGTCGCATCGGCATCGATGGTCTTGCTGAGGGGAACACGAATGCTGTCTTTAATTACCATGCCAACATTATAGAAAAGGGAGAGTCCCCAAACCAACTCTCTCCTGCCTTATCAATGCTGAAATTTGTCTTCATCAAGAGTAGTTCAAAATATGCAACTAATTTCATAATTTTGAATGATGGTTTTATCTGTAGTAATGTGTATATTATCTATTGGGATTTGTGTAATAAAAATCTAAGGAACAAAGTTTTATAACTATAAGCACTTACATTCTTGACTTTTCTTTAATGACTATAGTGTATCCCTCAGTCGGCCACACGTCTACCCATGCTTTCCAGTGGTGACAAGTGTTTTCCATAGTGTGCAGGTTCAGATCTGTAACTTAATGGCAATAAATGATTGGAATATTTGCTATTCGAGTGTGACTGTGTATGTTGAGTGGTTAGGAAACTGCAGAGCTAACCATCTGAAGGGATGGTCTCAGAAGAGAGCCAGGACTCCCTGAGAGCTGTCGGTGTGACTTCATGGGAGGGGTGTGCCACCCGCTGTGAGCCGCTGCTCTGGCTCTTAGGGCCTCACAGTCTTCTGAAGCAAGTAGACCGTTCTTTGGCGAGGGTGGGGTGGGCGATGGTGGTTCCGAAGATGCGATGCAAATCACTGATACCCTGGCAGGGCCCGAGGCCCCACCCTAGGCCTGGGTCCCCTGGGAGTGGACCCTTTCTGACACAGACACCTGAAACGCCAGCCCTAGGAGCCACGGGTTGTTTCTTCTGTTTTGTTTATTATGTAAAGTGCAGTTATAGAATGGCAGCCATAACCTTCCTAGGCCTCTCTGGTCCTCGGGAGTCACGCCTGCAGGTTTGGTGGATTCGAATCTTGTTCCTTCAACATTTGGGGAAAATTCTGGCTGAATAGTCCTAGCACTGAGCAAAGAGCCCAAGATTTTTCATGTCTGAATCAGGAAGACTGAGCAACTCCCAAGAGTAACCATGAAGAGAAAGAACTCCAGCCGAAGACACAAAGAACTACGGAGACCCAGCGCAGACCAACAGATGAGACCCAGAGGGGTCCCTAAGTTTAGCAAGTCAGTAGTTCTGTGATGGTTTCTCAGGAAACAGTTCATCGTGAAACTCAGAGGAGGAAATAAAGATTCCTCTGCTGGTACTTGATGTCGAGCCCGAGACTGGGTTTGATGGCTGCCGCCCACACGGGAGCGAGAACCGATTCCTGCAGATTGTTCTCAGCTTCCACACTCAGGCTGCAGTGTGAGGGTATACAAGAACAAAGATTTGGAGATGGTGACTACCAGCCCTAGAGAGCTCCTGCCAGTCAGCATTTGGTTGAATTCTAGTCTGTTGATTGGAGAGATGTGATGTCCAAGCTTCTCAGTACAACTTGTGGCTTCAGCACTGTGACCTGTGTCCAGGAACACAGACAAAGTGAGCGCCGATGTGAGAGGCTAGGTGGTAAGGGATGCTGCAGGAGTGGACTGCGGACAGCCGCGCTGACTTCAAATCTGACTAAAAGCCCAACTAAACGTTTGTTTTTTTGAGATGGATTCTCTGTGTAACCCTGGCTGTCCTGGAACTCACTCCAGACCAGGCTGGACTCTATCTGCTTTTGCCTTATAAACAAACTTTTGAAATCATAAATTACTTTGTCCTATGACTCCTAAAACTTCCAGACTGTTTGTGTAAGGAGTGACAGGAATCTGAGGAGTGACAGGAATCTGAGGTGATATTTATGACCAACACTTTAAGCTGTCTTTGGAGAAAGGGGCGTCAACTCAAGTCTGGCTAATTCCTGTGGACATGGGGCGACGTGGGGAAGGGGAGAGCTGGGTGTTGGTGGGTTCATGTTTAGTGAGAGGTGTGGCTGGAGAGGCATCCTGTTTACTGCCATCCCAGAGATGCCAATCATCTGTTTCTTGAGGGAGGTAAGAAGGCAGATATAGAGGAGAAAAAATATTATTATTACCCATCTTGTTTGTATCACCAAAAATGAGTGTGCCAGGCTGAGGAGCGGGTAGGCCCTTCATTGTGGCATCCTGGAAAACCGGAGGGTGGAAAGTCCTGTCTGCTGGACAGACCAAGTGTCCTGAGTAGGTGCCTGCTTGAGCCTGGAGAGATGGTACCAGCTTGGGTGTCCCAGGAGCTTGGCAGCTGAGGGGTTGGTGAGGATTACCGTGTGAGGTTCAAGAGACCTGAGTTCAATGGAGAGTCTGATTAGCTGTTGTTTGATGAGCCCATTGGCCCTGTCCACCTTTCCCGAGGATTGTAGATGGTAGAGGATGTGGAATTTCCAGGAGATGTTGAGAGCTTCTGACACCAGCTCCATGACCCTGGAAGTGAAGGCTGGCCCATTGTGTTCATGGAACACCAAATCGAGGACTGATGTGGTCCAGGAGCACCTAAGCCACACCATAGCTGCCGTTTCCTTGGAGACTGGAAACGCTTCTATTCACCCTGTAAAACTGTCCACAAGTGTTGAGATAATGGAGTTTTTTTATGAGTAGACATACGAGTGAAATCAACCCGCCAATCTTCGCCCAGTTGGTGTCCAAGAGTCTAGTGTAGAGACTGACATATGTGGAGAGCCCCCTGTGGGTTGGCCTGGGCACACGTCTGGCAGGAGTGAACCTGTGAAATACAATGCCTTGTAATCAATTTTAAAAGATGGCTGGGTTGTTGTCAGCTAGCTGTGTGATCTCTTGAAGTTTGTCAAAATTAAGTACTTTTTTTGAAACCATTTTCATACCCTAAAAGAGGCAACGAACCATGATGTCCCACCTCTGTCGGCCGCTTTGGCCAGGTTGGTAATCCCAGTGTGATTCTGTGGCTGGCACAGCCACTTCCCTTATAGGGACCATACTGTCTACCCAGTCAGTCTGGTCTGCATATTGTCTCGCTGCTGTCTGAATTCTACTTCGCTCCTCAGGAGTGAGAACAGAAGCTTGGATGACATAGAAGTCTTGCCAGGTTAGATCGTAGGCCTGAGACAGATAGCGAAACTCTTTGCTATAAATAGAAGGATTAGCAGAAAAGGAACCCAGCCACTTTTCTATCTGAGAGAGATCTAGAAGAGAAAAGGGAACATGGACTTTAATAATGCCATTGGCTCCCGCTACTTCCCAGAGAGGGCAGAGAAGGGCAGGGTTATGTGGGATCTGGTATGGAAGGAGCCGGGGAGGACTGGGAGGGGTTAACCCAGTGCCAAGGGTAGGGAGATGCAGTGGAGGGGGGTTAGGGAAGGAAGGTGGGTTAGGGGAAAGTTGACCTTGAACATCTGAAGCTGAGGAGGGAGGTGAGGAATGTGGAGAATGTTGGGTAGTGAGGGTTCCAGGGAGTGGGGGAGGGGCCAGTGCCTCTGGCTGCGTAGTCAAGGCTGAACTATCTGGGTCCTAATTCCTAGATGGCCAGGATCCTAACCACCAAAAACGGGTGCTGTAAAGACACTGGGTACTGAGGGCGGGGAGAGAGCGCAGAGCCCCCAAACCATGGACATACAAGAGTTCTGTCCATTTGTCCCCATGGTGACAAAATTTTCTAGGTCCTGGAGGAAGGTAAACTCAAGGCTTCCCTCTGGTGGCCATCACCTCCCATTGTCAAGATCGTATTGAGGCCAAATCTTAGTGCATAGAAAAATTAGCCACTTCCCAAGGTCCCAATGAGGAGCAGAAGGAGGGAGAACGTGAGCAAAGAAGTCGGGACCACGAGGCGTGCACCCACCCACTGAGACAGTGGAGCTGATCTACTGGGAGCTCACCAAGGCCAGCTGGACTGTGACCGAAAAAGCATGGGATAAAACCGGACTCTCTGAACATGGCGAACAATGAGGGCTGATGAGACGCCAAGGACAATGGCACGGGGTTTTGATCCTACTTAATGAGCTGGCTTTGTGGAAGCCTAGCCAGTTTGGATGTTCACCTTCCTAGATATGGTCGGAGGGGGGAGGACCTAGGACTTACCACAGGGCAGGGAACCCGGACTGCTCTGTGGACTGGAGAGGGAGGGGGGGGGGGAGAGGAGTGGGGGAAGGGGGAGAAGGGTGGGAGGAGGGGGAGGGAAATGGGAGGCTGGGAGGAGGTGGAAACTTGTTTTTTGTTTGTTTTTTTTCTTCTTTTCTTAATAAAAAAAAAAAAGAAAGAAAAATTAGCCACTTGGGACCGATTTTATCGGACAGTTCCAATTTATGTAAGAGGCAGCCCAGGGGCGAAAACGGATCTGGCTTCGAATTGCAAGCACCCATTTTAAAAGTCTGTGTCCAATTGTGTGGCTCAAGTCTTTTACAGTGCATCCGCTGAAATAACTCTTGGGCCAAAATGGGGCTGCGAAAATTGAATGTCGGGCGTCCCTGGGCAAACAAAATTCACCTCAGCGAAAGTCTCAGCTTTTGCCTCATGGGTCAGGCTTTTGGTGCAGACTGCATCTTCAACAAAAGCCCGAAAATTGACAAAAGTAAACAGGAACGGGTCCCCCAAAACCCTAGTAGCATAGGCAAGAAGTTTATAATTTCCAATAACAAAATACACTCAGCTGGGCAGTGGTGGCACACGCCTTTAATCCCAGCACTCGGCAGGCAGAGGCAGGCTGATTTCTGTGGATTCAAGGCCAGCCTGGGCTGCAAAGTGAGTTCCAGGACAGCAGGGATACACAAAGAAACCCCGTCTTGAAATAAAACAACAACAAAAACAAAAACCCACAAAAAAGGAACTCAGTTGTGACTGACTTCTAAGAGGATATTATTCTAGTGGTCAAAACTCAAGTGCCATGCTGGTCCCCCCTCCAGCGGCAATTTTCTCATTCTGAGTTCTGGGGCACAGGTTGTTGTTCTTAATTTCCGCGGGTTGTTCTTAATTCCTGCGGGTTAGACGAGGGTTACGCTAGAAAAGACACAGACACGCGGCGGTACCACGTGGTACACTTTTAATGGGAGGGGAAAACACACTAGGAAAAGTGAAAGGAAGGGACAAAGGGAAAGGATAAAAAAGGGCCGAACTTGTGGCTTGTCCTTGCTTTTAACAGAGGATGCAAAGGCTTCTGGGAAATGTGTCCCGCACTTGCCGTGCGCTGGAGTCCAGAGGGATGTTGGGAGTTGTAGTGTTGCAAGGGAACAACATTTCACCCTTTTGGTTTGATTAAAAAAATTGGGGGACCTTAAAGGGTAGGGAATGGGGGCATAGTCCAGTCTCTCATGGCTGCTTCCTGCTGACTTTGGGCGTTGAGGGGTCCAGGGAATGTCCGATTATCTTGGCAATGTCCCATTGGCGTTTGCGGTCGCTGGTGTAGTTGGTCAATGATGTCCAGGGTTGCTGGCTGGTGTAGTCGGTCACTGATGTTTGAAGTCCTAGCTGTCGTCTGAGGCGGCTGATTGAAGAGATCTGTGTGGCTTTTCCTGAGTAGCTGGGTCATCAT